GGGTGGGAGAGTTTGTCCGTCTGTGGGCTCACGCCAAGCGCCTGGGGCTGGGAGGGTGCGGGTTTGCCCTTGCCGGGGTGAGGCTGAGCTCGCTGCCGCTCCCTCTGTGCAGCCTGGGAGCGCCGCTGGTCCTGCCTCCTCTTCCCCCTCCCCGCCCACAGGCTGTGGCGCTCACGCCTGTGTTTTTTCACCCAAGGGAAGCTGCTGCCAGGTCCCCTCTGCAGCCCCCTGAGGTGGGAGGTGGCTCAGGACGAACTGGAGACCTTTCAGTAGCCCTGACTCCTGCGGTTCTGGGGTCTTGCTGCAAGCCTGCCTGCAGCATCGAGAGCAAACTGCTTTGGTGGCACCTGCCCATCCTGCTGGGAGCACCCCTAAAGCCTTTGTCTGGCTGGTGTTCTGCTTTATGCTCTATGTTAAATGGCTGTTTATCTGTTAAATGGCTTTTTGTCCCTGTTCCTGCCCAGTCCTCTCTTCCTGGACACTTCAGGAATCTGGTGGCAGGACCCATCGTCCCTGGCAGCAGCGGAGACGTCCTGGGATGTGACAGAGATGGCGGCTCTGCGGAAGGCTGCAGATGACGACTCGGACCTGAGCCGTCTGGAGGGGGACAGTGTGGAGGAGCTGGCTGTGCCGGACCCAGTGAGTGTGGAATAGTTCTCCCTGTTCCTCTGAGGACATGGGAAACTTTCTACACCTCTCTTCAAGCGCTTCCAGAAATTAAGAATAAGAATAATCTTGGGCCCCGTTGTTAAAATCCCTGAGCTGAGAAGCTGGAAACTGAATTGTTACTCTCCTGCTGCTTAGCTTCCACTGCCTGGCTGAGTGAGAGGCAGTGGCTCCTGCTCCTCGCCAGCTTAAATCTCCGGTTCCCTCCGGCAGCTCCGGTGCTGCTGGGGCATCTCCGCCGCAGCACGCGCTGCTTCGCAAGCAGGCATGGGAAAGGAGGTATTTCCCTGTCTTTTTTTCTCCCCAGTGGATCTGGGAGCTGAATTCCCCTTTTGTGGGACAGGCTGTCGTCCCCAGCAGGCAGCCCACCCGGTCCCCAGCCTGGGAGGACGCTGCTGGTGGAGGTGCACGTTGTGCAGCGCTGAAACGTCCCGGAGCGGGGTGGGGGTGTCCCTGCTCCGTGTGCTGCTCATGCAAGTCTTGGTTTGGGTGTCAGGAGCTGGAGGCCATCAAAGCCAGAGTGAGGGAGATGGAGAAAGAGGATGAGAGGCTGAAGGAGATGCAGCTGGAAGCTGAGAGCTGCCTCATCGTGAGCTCGGACGCAGGTACGGGCTGTCTCTGGGTGCTGCTGTCCCCCCAGAACACCTCTGGGGTGCAGGGTGGTGATCAGGGCCAGAGGCTCGGCCTCTCCTGGCAGCCTGGGACTGGACGTGTAGGGTGGGTGAGGAATGGGGTCCCAGGCATGGCATGGTGCTGATGCAGGTTACATCCATTCTTACCTCCTACGTTTGCAGGCCAAGATACAGTGAATTAACTTAATTACATTTAATTCAATTAAGTAATTGAGTTTAGCACCAACAGCCCCAGTGGAGCAGTGATCCTGTGGTGTGGGGTTGTGTCAGTTTTTTTTGTGAAGAGAGAGGAGGCAAGGGGATGGAGGAGGATGTGGCAATGTTGGGATTTGGGGATGCCCAGATGTGACCAGGCACCTGAGGAGCTTTGCAGTGTGTCAGCTCGGTGGTGGCCATGCTGGGAGCAGACCTGTGCGGACAGACGTCCCTCTGGTTGAGGGCTGCTGTGACTCTACCCAGCACGACCCCTTGTCTCTGCAGGTCTCTTCCCAAAGACAACCGAGGAGAAGATGGAGGTTGACCAGCGCTCCATCTACGTGGGCAATGTAAGTGGGAGACCCTGGAGCAGAGCCCGTCTTGCTGCTCCTTGCCGTATGTCTGAGATTCCTCGTGCGGGGGCCCATCTGCTCCCCACCGAAGGATGACTGGTCCCATCCCAAATGCTTCTCCTTTGCCCAGCCCAGACTGGGAATGTGGTTTAGCATCTGCCCATGACCCTCAGCCACTTGCAGATAATCTGTTGCAAGTGTCAGCTCCCCAAAATACCCCTCTGGAAGCTGTGGGTCGTGCAGTGTTGCTTGTTCCCTCAAAACGGGGGGAGTTGTCTCTTGGATTTGGGTTTCCAGGCTGGAGCATTCAGCTGGAAGGGTCTCCTGAACCTCAGGAGATGGTGAGGCCATGGTGGCAAGGTGTAACTGGGGTCAGCCAGGCCCTTGGCCTCTGTGAATGCAGACCCACAAGCCAGAGGGGCTGGCTGGTGACACTGGAGGGGCTGGGACTGTCATTGCAGGTGGACTATGGGGGCACGGCGGAAGAGCTGGAGTCTCACTTCAACAGCTGCGGGCAGGTCAACCGAGTGACCATCCTCTGCGACAAGTTCTCGGGGCATCCCAAAGGGTCAGCGCTGCACGGGGGCTGGGGTTGGGGTGTTGAGGGCACTTCCCTGTGCTCCCCAGCCTTTGGGAGCCGCGGGGTGTCCCTGGGGCTCTGCTCACCCCGTCCCCTTGCAGGTATGCCTACATCGAGTTTGAAGAGAAGAGCTCTGTGAAGGCTGCGGTGGAGCTGGATGAGAGCGTCTTCAGAGGCCGTGTCATTAAGGTAAGAGCTTAATGTCTTAATGTCATTAAGGTAAGTGCATCCATCCATCCGTCCCTCCCAGCTCCAGGTGCATGGGGGCTGTGCCAAACCCCGGTGCTGGCAGCACCGGCTGAGCCACCTCCTGCTTTCCAGGTGCTGCCCAAGAGGACCAACATGCCGGGCATCAGCACTACCGACCGCGGGGGCTACCGGGGCCGCTTCCAAGCCCGGGGAGGGCTGGCCCAGCGGGGAGGCTACTATGGAGGGCAGCACCCAAGGGTGCGAGGGAGGACGTACAGGTGAGCGGCTGGGCGGGGGGTTTCCTTGTGTTTTTGGGTCAATATCCCTGTGGAGCAGGGTGTCCCTAGGGTGGGGGTGACTGCCCCTCGCTCTGGCCATGCTCAGCTTCTTGGCTTTGCATCTCCCACCCTGGCATGGATGGGAGGATGGAGATGGGCTCTGGCAGGAGTATCCTCCTGGAGACCTGTGCTAGAAATGTCTCCTGCCCATCGCGTGCTGTTAGCATCACCCCGGTGTCTGCGCGGTCTGCAGGAGCCTGGTGGCTGGTTCAGCTGGGATGCTGGCACCTCGGCGGGACCGTGGGCAGCCAAGATGGGGAAGGACTGAAGTGAGCAGCTGGCGACAGCATGGCAGACCCGTCCCGCTGCTGTCCCGGCATCCCTCGCATCCCCAGCACAGGCCGGGAGCTGTTCTCCAGCGCACCTCCCGCTGCTCATGCATCCCAGAGCTCACTGCAGAGTAGCTTCAGTCGTGCCCCAGCCCCTTCGGTGCTGCGGGAGGAAGCGGAGGGGAGCTTTGCAGGTGGAAGAAACACCTGGAAACTCATTGCTGTCCATCTTCCCACCGCTCTTTCCTTTTTTGGGGGTGGTGGGTGGGCAGCACACTCCCAGCCTGACCGGTGCCAGATCTGTGCTTTGGGGCTCCCCTGTCCTTTGGGGTATGCTGCCTGGGATAGCTGGGGCAGAGGGGTGAGTCCCAGCTCTTGGTGGGGCAGGTAGCTGTGCTTTTTTGGCATCTCAGCTGAGCAATGCCCCCGTGCTTTAGGATGCTGTTTTTGTTCTTGTTTAGGGGTCGGGCAAGGCTCCTGCCTTGGTATTTTCCATACTAGAAAGGACCGGACTGCCCTGGTGATGCTGACGGGACTGAAATGAGGAGATGGGATTGGAGAGAGTTAAAAATATGCCTACCCAAGCCAAAAAAGATTAATTTTAAAATGCCATCTGCTTGGCCGTGAGGATTACTGGTGAGGCAGCCATGTGCCAGGCTGCGGGAGGGAAGACTGGATCTGCACCACCCGCACATCGGCCGGATCCCTGCCAGCGTCGCAGGAGGGGCTCACCTTAGCTTTTGCATCGAGAACAGACTCATTCCAGAGAACACCCTGTCCTGGGAAGGGAAGAGCTTTTCCAGACCACTGGTCTCATCCTCATCCCATAGCAGAAGGCTGTACTGGAGGCTTTGGTGTAAACCTAGCTTGGCTTTTAGCTGCCCGAATGCCCTCCACCCCACTGCAAGGGCAGACCTGTCCCGCTCGGCCAGCGAAGCACCCTCAGCTTTGCTGGCTGTTTCTACAGGACCTGGATGTTGCTTTCTCTTACCCATAAGAAGATCCTAAAGACCTTTCCAAAGACTGTTTTCTTGTCCAAATCAATGGAGAAAGTCTTGGACTGCAGCTCTAGATCTGGCCGTTGGTGAGCTTTTAACTCCATTGGCCTTATGGATTTCTGACCTTGCTCTTGGGAAGAGGATGGAGCCTAACGCTGTGTTTTGGGTCTGGCTTTTAGCTGGCTGGTGCTGTTTTACATCTAACAACCAGGGGAGGGAAAAGACATCCCTTGCTGTTTCTCTGGAAGCCTCTGTATCTCTGTGGTGGTTAAACAAGACCTGGGTGTCACAAAACCCTTCCCCTCTTTTATTTCAGAAGGCAACCACCCCCTCCTACCCCCTCCTGCTTTTATCCCAAAGCTACAGGGACCAAAGGGGACTGCCAACTCATCATTTTACTTTATTTCTAGCAGTAGCAGTATTACAAAACTATCTATCTCCACTGTTGCAGCTTTGGTCTGATCTTCCTTTTTATTCCTGTCACTATTCCTGCTCCAGATCCCCCTTTAGGGATGGTGTGTGCCCAGCTGAACTAGAGGGTCAGGACTGAAGCACACCACAGGAGCTGGGTACCAGGGAACAAGTGCTGCCTGGCACATCCCCTTGCTGCTGATCTTCCCCCTTCCTGAAACTGCTCATTTTTAAAGGAAAAACTTTGTGTTAAAAGAGGCAGGCTGTGAACACCAGCAGACAGCATCACTATGTGAAGTTCTGCATTGAAATCGGTTTTATTACGTAATTCTCACGCTAATCTTTCGGGATCCTTGGTTAGGATTCCTCTAACCCAGATGCAACTGACTCCTAAAGCAGCTTTTCACAGCTCAGGGGGCATTGCCAGGCTAAAAATCCCACTGATTTTTTTTCCTTAAGATCTCAGGATTTTTTTTTAAAGCTTGGGGCCTTAACCCTTCATGTTGTGTTGATTTTGCACTTTGCCCAGTGTGGACTGTGCTGCTGAGGCTGGCCTTGATCCGAGCTACCTTTAGGCTTAAACTATAAAACTGGCTTTTCCTAGGGCTTTAAACTTTCCATTTTGTAGCTTTGTAAATTCTTGAGACTTAATTTTTAACAAAAACTACTTTGGGGTATTTGGACTCTTTTGTGGAAGAGGAAATGCTGAGCTCCTGTCTCTGAGTGAAAAGAGTGAAGACTTTTATATGAAAATGTTTTGGAATAGCAGTGTACAGCTGTGCCTTGTTTAGATGGTGGGAGAGCCTTGAACTCTTTCATCTCCCTCTGACAGGTTGTTGTCGATTAAATGTATTTGAGTTCTGTTTGAGAAGGTATTGTAAATGTCACTTATTTTTAAAATAAATGATCCTGCTGTGTGAACTTCATCTGCAGTGAGACTGTGCTGGCTGTGAGCTGACATTCTACACTGACCTGGCTTTCTCCAGGCTTCTTGTATCCTTTAGAGCTGTGCAGCTTTTTTAAAAAATTTTTAGCTAAGTTTTATGTATTTTTAACTGATTAGGTGCTTGAAGCAGAGACTGCTCTGTTGGGCAGGAAAGACTTGGAGTAGAGGTATGTGAAAAGCAAAGTAGCTGCTCAGTGCCTACACCTGCCTGTTACCTCTGTTGAACTTGCTGTAGCTGCACAGCCCTCTGCAGTGCAAGCGTACTGCACAAGAGATGAAGAAGCTGGGATGCTTTCCTAGTCTAGTTTGTATTTTTGCTATCTAAATATCTGCTATTGATTTGATTGTCTTTAATTAGAACAGCAGGGAGCTGCAGGGCAGCACATGCTAATAGAGATTAGTTTGGGATGAGCCAGGCAGCTGTGCAATCCTGATGTCTTCATCTCCTGGAGTGGATTTATCCCAGCTGCACTACCTGTGCTCCCTGACCTGGGCTGGAAATGCTATTAAGTGTGCCTGGCCTGTGTGAATGAGGGGCAAAGTGATGACAGCAAATACTGTCAAAAGTGAGTTGCCCAAAGGTCTTCCCCAGGAAGGCAAGATCAGTGCATGGCTTGATCAGGTTCAAGGTGGTGCTTCAAGACCAGCTGTTCGATGTCTGCCAGAGCTTTCTCAGGTACATAAACAGTGGCTGGGGTTGCAGAGAAACCTGGAGCTTTCAGCTGCCTTGCAGAATTTTTTCTTTCCAAGAACTAATGGAGCAAGTACATACAGATCTGAGTGCTCCCAGCTAAGGAAAAACAGGACAAGGAGCCCAAGTATGTTTGAATTAAGTTTTGCTTGTGATGTTCCTGTCAGAATGAACAGTCCTAAGCAGTAGTGAAGGGGGCTGGCAAAGAGCAAAAGGACTGCTGTTGCTGATGTGCTGCTCCTGCTTCAGAGGAACTGCTGTAAAGCACCAGTACTTCTAAGGAACAGTGTCACTATCTGTGCCTCTCAGCTGACTGAAATCTAGGTTGACCCTAATAATAATCTCTTAGCTGTCTCAGAGCAAGCACAGCTGCACAATCACAAGCACAGCAGGAACTGCTGTTTTTACACAAAGCCCCACTTCTACAGAAACATCTGAGTTGCACAGAGGCACAGCTGCACACATTTCTGTAGAGAAAAAACCTCCTATCTGACACAGATGACCTTCCTGAAGGAAGAGCTGGCTCTCACATGTTACTTGAAGGCATAAAGCTGAACAGCAGCTTCTGTGCTGTACTCAGCTTTGCTAGAGTAGACATGCATGCAAACCTTGCAGGTGTCAAGTTTATTTTACATAGAATAAATTTACAATATTACACAGAAGGAAGACAATATATACATCACTTTGTAGGCACACTCCTGTACACAGGGAATGTTCTCAGCACTCAGATGAGAAGGGGCAGAGCCTCAGCAAACCTGCATCATCATGGAGTTCACCATATTATCGAAAGCCCTAGACCAGGAAATGAACATAGAGTATTGAAGGAAGCAGCTAGTTCTGCACAACTAATCTCTTCTAACACAACCAATGGCTAACAATGCCTCTTACTGGTTGTTAATAAGCTGGCTTTCCCTAAGCTGAATACCTGGTTTTACTCTTTACCTGTAGCATGCTCTGTTGAGTAAATAATGATGTTTAATTAAGCTGAAATAAGGACTGGTCTTATCCAGGCTCTAGACCTGCCTCAGCAAAACGTATAAGCAGCTGTTCTTCCCTAGGCAATAGAAACTCTCAACATTATTAACATTCCCTGTGAGAAGCCAGATGAGAGATGGGGGGAACTGGCCCTCACGCGTGAGGAATTACGCATGCAGAATGCCCATCTGTCCTTATCCAAGGATAAGCCCTGGACAAGCGCAGTTATTCACTCCGTTTAACTTGCTCTGTTTATCTCTGTTTATGTTCGTATTTACCTATGAAACAGGTAACTTTTTCTCCCCAATCAATTACTTTTCTTGAGCCAATGTTTCTAACACCAGTGCTGAGGCAGGAGTGAGAGTTCAATGTAACTTCTGATGAGGTTATCAAGAGTTTTCTGTTATACAGTAATGGCCCAAAGACAACACAGCTGTTCTCCATTTAGGCACTTAAAAGCATGCGCATCTGAACTGGTCAACCACAGGGGTTATGCTATTGGTCCTATTACATCATAGGTACACTGCAAATTCCAGAAAGATGACAAAGATCAGAAAGATCAGCCAACTTACCTGGAATGGATACGGTCCCCAGGGTTATAAAAAGGGTTACACATTATGTCTGTATATGAATTATGCAGCTTTCGGAACATCTGAAAAGGGATTGCAGGTTAATTTTTTTTTTTTTTTTTTTTTTTTTTTTTGCTTCTCAGCACTTTATGAATAAGGGGAAGTAGCAAAAACACTGATGTGGCAAGTTGGGCTCTGATTTCCTGCACTTACACTGCGGATCTCATTGTCTCGAAGTGCTGTGTTTGAAGAATCCACCACCATAACAAACTTCACCTTCGAATTTGTCACGTAGCCGTATCTGTGCAGCTGTTAAGGCATGTGCTTCTGACACATCAGAGCCTGGCACAGCAACTACAACAAGGCTGGAATACACTCAAAGAAACAAGCTAAGAGAAAATGTGATGTTCTTGCTGCGCCCAGCACATAACTAGGACTAGGTGAGGTAAGCACGACATTAGATTGCAGGAACTGTATCCCCTTTCTACCTGACTTCTCCCATCTTCAATAACTCCAGCTCAAGTTTGTTCTTACACTGGCTGGTAAGGCATGTCTTGCAATTTCAGAAACAGCCTCCCACTAGCCATTTTGGTGAGGGTTTCTCTCCTCTTAAGAACCGTTTCAGTGACACAGCCACCTTATTTATTCTTATTTGGGAGACCACAATCAGAGACTTGGAGATCTCCTAATATCAGCCAGTGTGACTGACCTGAGACTTCAAAAATTAATAACCGGTTTATGAAAACCCAGAAATTAGTTCTGCTGATAACTTCCATTTGTGGAATTCAGAGAAAAAGCCAATGAAAGTTCCAAAGATCAACTTCGTGGCTTAAAAACACTGAGGCAGCTGTGGCCATGGAGTACAGATTTTTAGAGAAATCAGATCACACACCTGGGATTTAGGTACTTGA